ACTTCTTGTCCTTTTCCAACTTCACTGAAACTAGGCACTTCAAGAACTGGTAGTTTTTGTAAAGAACTTTTAATTTGAGAAAAACCCATTTGCATTTTTTGTGCTCCTTCAATTGAAATTTTTTTACATTTAAATATTGTATCAAACAACTCATCAATAATTAATGAAACTGTTGCATGACATACTCTAAGATAATAATTTTGAAATATTTTTGATTTGACAATACTAAATTGTTGATTAATTAGACTAACCATTTGAAAAACATAATCATCTTCATCATCAATTGATTCACATGAAATATCCCAATTCATTTTTGTAATTTCTGTAATTGCTCCTTTTGCTTTTTCAATTAAACATAATACAAGATATTGAATGATGGGTTTAACACATTGATTAATAATACTAAATTGAAATGTTTGTAATTGATATGCACCACTAACCGTTGCCATTTCAGTATATCCTGTTAGTAATTGTTCTAATCTTCCTCCAAGATAATCACATGTATTAATTGAAATACAACTTCTTTTAATAGTTTCATTTTCTTTACATTTAGATAATATACCTCTAGAATACTGTTCTGCATGTTCTGCAATTTGATTGCAAATATCAATTAATGGTTTACCTTGAGTAATTTGAATACAACGTTCTCCACATTTTTTGCAATAAAAGATATAATCTTTACAAGATGGTAATATTCCATCTTCAGGATCTTCTTGGAAATTCTCTTCATCTAATACTTTATTTACAAACGACGTTAAGTTAGTATTTTCTAAATCAACATACCCTGACATATATGGTTCAAAACATCTAGATAATACACCAACTGTAAACGCAGTTTCTTCTGATTCTTTTATTTCATTTCTATGTTCAAATGGATTAGATGCATCAACATAAGCATCTGTTGGTTCCATAGTTTCAAAATGATTTATTTCAATCTTAGGAGATATGTGCCTTGAACTTCCTTTACCATCAGTGTTAGAGTTGTTCTTAACTTTTGGAGATTTTGAGTCTTGTTCTGAACTATCGGTCCCATC